AACTACAGTGAACTGGTACGAATTAATGACCACGATTAGAATTAAGCCTACCTACAAGAACAGAACAGCACAATGAATCACCAGTGCATATATGAATTTCACCAAGGTCCAGGGTGGGTGTGTGATCTTTCTTAGATGTGAAATATGGAACCAGAGAACGTTTGACAATGTAGCCACCACAGTGAACCCAAAGTTGAGCATGAAATCATTGTTTATTATTCAAGATTAATCACAGCAATTCAGTATCCCACTCACAAACTGATTGAAATTAGTTGAATATAAGGACAACATTTTGAACAGCCATATATGCATTCGTAGTAGTATGTTTGAGAAACTGTAAATTTCATTCGTCTGATGCCTTATTCAAACAAAATTCAACTGCTAAATGTTTCAATGAATAACAATCTCATTATTTATTCATTTGTTTTTGCAAAATATAGTGTGAACGGATTTCCACTGAAAATTTCTAATATTGAATGTAAAAAATAAACTTTTGTAAAATTGAAAATAAATAAAACTGTGAAATGAAATGCTTGTGGTTTTTGTTTATATTTCCACGCGTTGCTATGGAGATTCTTGTTTGTAGTGGCAAGATGGAGATAAAAAGAGTGAGAGATGGTTTGGAAGAGAGTCATTGAAAAAGAAGGCACTCTGTCCATCGAATTAGTTTGGAGTATATGCGACGAGACATTTGGAATTCGTTTCACTTTCGATGAGGTTATTTATCCACTCGAGAAACAAACACAAGAGATAAGAACTGAGTTATACTCAGTCTACAAATAGCGTTTTTAAAAAGCATAGAATACCGTTATTTGACAAAATAACGTTTAATCCTTGACTACCAAATTAAATTCCAGTGCAAACGACATTCGTCTCCAACTCATAGCATATCCACCAGTAGAATATATCATTGTTTCGTAAGTTTCAGTCATAAGCATTTATCAGTAGGACGTATTGAAATCCGTAAATAAGATGTTTCTGTCACCTCGAACATTCGATCACGCGTAGCCCGTTGTCACGATCGGAGAGCTAGTTCTGACACAAGCAGGCTGCTGGATTAATAAATCGTCGTATCCTTCCTGTTCTGCTAAGAAGAAGCACACTGTATTTCATGTCAAAACTTCCATTGCTTAGCTTAGTCTAGCCAGTGCTCCCCAATCGAGGAGGCGTTATTTCTCCGTTTCTGTCTTATTTATTTTTACATGAGTGGACCCAGTCTGGTGAAGCCAATTTCGTTAAGTATCTCGATGGTCGGGCTGAATCTGTGCTGGCAAATCCTTCTCAGTCAGAATGTTCCAAAATCAATAATATCTAATAATGAAATAGCGAATGTGTGAAGTGAAACAGGCGAAGTGCGAGACACTCTCGTGGTGATTAGTCGTCATAATAGGTTCATTCGTAGAGTGTGGAGTAGGCATATTGACAGCATTCAGTTTCTTCAAGGTTATGAAAGGTGTCAAGTGAGTGAGTGTGTGGGTGGCTAGTACAAAGTGGTATGTAGTAACAAACGGGAGACAGTAAGACCACAATGAGAGGTTCATACTGAAATAACGAATTGAATAGTGAATTTAAACAGGTGGAGTGAAGTAACTGGGTAGGTTTCGTGGATGTGAGAAACTTGAATATGTAGTTTGTGTTGAAATTAGGGGAGGGGTCATTGTTTGCACTTGTAGCATTTGAGATCACATCAGCTGGACGACATATGAAGGACTTATTCGGACTGTTAACATCAACTGAAGAAGGATCATTATCTGTCTGCTTACCACTGGCGATTTCCTCGAATAGCTTCGACATATCTGATGAGGTTTCGTATGAAAAGTACTTCTGGTGATATATCAAATTTAATCTCTGTATTTCTGATGTAATTTAAATGTTCTGCCTCTTAACACCAGAACTGTATTCCATTTTGTGTAACCACTCTTATTCTCGGCAGTGTTGTGTGAGCTTAGAAGAGGAATAATGTCTCTTTTGGACAACAGATACTAGGACAGAATTTGAGATGACATGTTATGTTTGTGAATGTGTCATCTAGAAATTGTTCAGCAAATAAGTCTCAGTTTGTGCTTTCTAACGTGTTTCTTAGATTCTGTATATTATCATGAAATAACATCCGTGGTGAGTTTTCTTGCCAACGAGCAAGAATGCCTCTTTTCATATCTTTCCACACATTTTGTGGCAATATTATTATGATACAATGATCAGAATTAATTATAAGAGTAGCTCTTTACAGAGCTTCAAATATGCCACAGTCATTTATATACACTAAGTGGATAAGGAGTATTTTCTAGTCGTGTCGAGAAGCTGACAATATTCTTATAACCTGATGTAACAGTGTCAAGAAACTGTAGTGACAGGTAATGAACGCGCCAGTAATTATTGACAAGGAGTTGCCAAGCGAAGCTCCAGCAGATGAAGCAAATTCATCAACAATTAAGGAAGGTTCTGATGGACTTTGTGCTGGTACAACATAAATCTTTGAAATATTTATGTCGTTATATTTGAACAGGCGTTGACAAGTCGATGCTGATCACCGAAATTACATTGTCATGTTGGACAGGTGTGTCGGTCGACATTTAACAGTGGGCAAAGAGGTGTGTAACTTGGGAATCTCAAACATATATTACTGGAAGCACCCCGCTGAGTACTGATGAACACTTCAAAGCCACTGCCTCATTTTTCCTCACAGCTACATTGATCTTTTCTTGATAATCTGGAATTATTTCGACAGACTAAATTATCATCATATTGGTTATGGATCCAGGTTTCTTGAATATTTATAGACCCTATATCGCGGTATACTTTGGAAGACACGGGAGATTGCAGACAGTTGACTTCACCTGTAAGGGAACGACAGTTTATGCTCATACTCTCGGGAACAGTCATTTGGAGTATAGGTATAGGATTTATAGCATGTCGGCATCCAGCATGGCGCTTCTTCTTAGGATTTGTGTGAATTTGCAGATTCACAGATTTTTTAGGTGTTTATACATACGCGGTTGTAGACAATGCGACTTGAGGGGATGTTTCAACCGGTCAATAGGTCCAAGTGCCAAAATAGTCTATGAGCTCACCTTAAGACTGGAAGGTCTTTGGTTGAAGCAGTAGTGGGTGCGTAGTGTTGGGGAGACCCGAAATTGGACGAAGCGGCTGTCCTGTACTGCCGCCTGCCTGGTTTTCCAGGCACATCAGCTTGTGACCAGATCATGAAACCCATGATTTCTCAGTAAACTAACATGGAATATCAAAACTGCGTCACCATTTTCTACCTGTCCTGCGCTTTCCTCACTAAATAGTCCATCAATATTTAAGGCAAATTCAGGAATAAGTGAGACGGTCAGCACTTCCTAACTTTTCACCCCATATCCTCGAACTTGCAGTCTGTGAGGAGCCGCTCTAATGGATCATCTTCTATGAGAAAGAAGTTAGTCTATTTCTACACAGAATCACGTTCCTGCTCAAGGGATTCAGAAGGAACTAATTGTGTTTATAAATAGATGAAATTCTTTCTTGTGAGTAGAATAGATGAATGCATTTCAGGCGCCTTCCAGTATCAAAGTGTAATGGTTTCACTGATAAAAAATAAACGTGTTTCAATTCTGGAAAACATTTCTCTTAAAGTAAATGATTGATAAGGGATTGGAAATATCTGTGAACGTGATTGTTATTTGTGTACAGCTACGTATGCGTTATTGGAGTTCACGTGATGTCCACTGAAACTGACTCTATGAGGATGGTTAATTCTCTAGATAAACAACTCAATTAAACATTCAACGGAATCGTTTCCTCTTTATCATGTTGACAAGATGAAATGCCATGCTTATCAATGTCACATCACACTGATTAGAAAACAACACCCGTGTGTGTATGCAGGTGATTCTGTCAATTTCTCGTCATATGACAGAGAATATTTTAGTATAAAAGAGTGTCAATTTCACTGCAGTTCATCTTCGAACACTAGCACATACAAGATGAACATGAAACTTCAAGCTGTCCTGTGCTCAGTGTTCTTCATCTTCGTGGTGCCAAACTTTTCAGTTGGTGAGTTGTCAAGTAGTTTTCTTTGTTTTATGTGAAGGTGTTTCTATTTTGTTCTTATTGTAACTTTATTTGAGTAATAATTTGACACGTGATAAACTGAGACAGGATATGCTTTCGGATGCTTGGCCTGTCTTAGATGGTCAGTAATCACTGACAGGCTTTACCTGTTTCTGGTTTTATATTTGTTGAGTTCTGGATGAGAAACGAGGTTGCCATATAACCTGACCAACACATAGACGTCATTTTCAAGTATTGTTTTGCAGGTTATTGGTTTCATGATGAGCTGACAACAGCCGGGAACCACTGGGAAAGAGAACAGAGTACTGAATGGCCGTTTCTCCCGGTGTGAAACTCTTTTTCTGTAACCGTCCCTCGGTTTTCGCTTCGAAGATCTACTTGTCAGGCGGTGGGTTTGTAGACCATTTGTGTATTGCACCCAATCCTGTGATCGTTGAACTTTAGCTTGTACATATTCGGGAATATAACTCATTAGTCATCATATCTGAAGCTATATGTTGATATGTAAATAATGTATATGAGTGTTCTTCCCACAAAGGGATCGGAATGAAGACACTTGTCTTGGATAATTACTTTCGGATTATGATGTACAAGCGAATTCCTGGATTTTGGTGACTGATTTATTCTGCAGCATAAAGTTCAAAATATGAATACTTCGTTAGATTTTCTATTTCTTTCCACATACCTTGATGTTACGTAGTGGAATATGAACAAATTTTAATCAGGTGAAGTAAATATTGACTGTCTGAAGTTATTTCTTCATCAAGTACACTGTCTACTTCCAACAAAGAAACAAACGAAATTTTAAACGAAGTCGCCACCTTTTAAATCAACTTTTTAGTGTGCAGTCTTACTTATTGCTTCTTCAGTATATAAGATGAGTGTTGCTTTTTGTAAAATCGCGCAATAAATTGTGCTTACTTGTCACTGTTATCAATTTGTAGGTTATGATCCTGCTGAAGGGGAGAAGTTGTAAGTTCCATATTCACATGATATTTTAATTTTGTCCACAAGATTTCCTTTTCATTATTTGCGTTGCTAATCCGACATAGGTCTTCAAGTCTTAGTGTTTGTGAATGAGTTGTGAGGCTCTTAAGTGATCCAATCTGCTCTGTTTTTTAAGCACATTAACTAACTACCAGTGAATTCAGCGAGGTTTAGAAATCTGGACCGATGATAGAATTCGAACGTGTCTGATCTCTAGCCAGCATTCTACCAGTGATCCATGGAGTGATGTGTGTTGTCTCCAGGATCGCTGGACGACGAATACGAGAAGCGTTTGACAACTATTTCATCCCAATCTAGGAATCTCAATCAGCACACACTAATGACCGTCTGGACCTCAGGAACTTAGGGTTTCACTTAGGGTTGAGGATGCCATACGGAGTTTTGTCCGACAGTTCTCAGTAATCATTGTTACGACGAAATATATTAAATAGTAGATTGGAATAGAGGAAATCGGAGATAAACTCACCTGAAATGAATTCGAGTAGTGAATAGCATTCCGATATCTGAATTTTGATGAACTGATTCACTGTGAATGAAATAGATGAATACAGAATGAACTCTTATTTCGACAAGGTTTATTGATTGAAGCGGATATTTTTGATGCATAAAAATGCAATGAAGGACATTTTGTTTGTCCTTCGCCCTCTCTGTGGAACACAGATGCTAATGTGAATTTTACATCTGACAGTCAAATATTTCGAATTCCGAGGTGGATGTTTGCCTTTGATATTCACCTTGATTTGTGCTTATGTTTGGTGGGTCTGTCACAGAAGTGTAGACCTACTCCTGAAGAATTCGTCCCTGAAAAGATAAGTAATTTAGAAAAAAGCTCAGCTATTGCACTTCACGCAATAGCAAACAACCACACAATAGGGTGGGATAGGGTTAAAATTCTAAAACGTAATATAGGTAGGTGGAAAGAGAGGTTGATTACGGAATCCTTATTCATCGAGTCTACACCCAACACATGCAACAGAAGTGACTCAATGCAAATACCAGAAATATGGAAGATATTATTACCGCCAGTCAAATCAGAAGAAGATGATAAATAGTCTTAAAATTCTATTTCCATTCAAACACATCAACACATTCTAACAATCAACTTATTATGACTATAAAAACACTCGTCGTCATTCCCATCTAATTGCAATGGATTAATAACACTCGTATTATTGCCACCAGTCAAATCAGAAGAAGATGATAAATAATCTTAAAATTCTATTTCCATTCAAACATATCAACACATTCTAACAATCAACTTATTATGACTATAAAAACACTCGTCGTCATTCCCATCTAATTGCAATGGATTAATAACACTCGCACTATTATTTCTGAATGTACATTATCTCATGTTGAATTTTATTCCAATATCTAGTCGATTCCACACATGTATATAAATGAAGGAAAGAAGTTGTGTGAGTAACTTGATATGATTATGAGCAATAGTTTGTGCTCGAAACGTCATCAGTTAATATAACTGTACTACACTGTGTGATTTATCAAAATAAAATCTTATCCATTATGGAATTATACTCTACCACAGTGCCCAAGTTTTATACTTATATCAATTCGTCAATATCTCCTATATCGACATCCATTGTCCCTTAATTTTGATTTGTCATTCGTCTACAAGGGTAGTTTCATTGAGGTTGACATTTTTGAAAGAGCATACGATTAGTCGGTGAAAATGTATTCTCCGAAAAGGAGCTTTTGAAATGGCGATTTCATCCAAGTTCAACTTCAACTTACCTAAATTTATTCTGCATTTCTGTAAGGTGTCTTTTACGTAAAATGATTTAATTTTATGAAAACCTGGATGTAATAATCAATGTTTTTTTGTTGTTGTGTCACTCAGCAAAGCTTATCTGTATACCGCGTAAGTTATAAAAACGAACTGTGTTATGAGTTTGATGCATTTTATTACTCGTTGGTTAATGGGTATTTCTTAAGTCTAAAATGTAGTGATGCTAAGTTGTCTGATAATAATTGTAATACTGGAGGTTTATTTGAGGGAATGCGTGAAGACATAGTGCAGAAATCCTCAATGTATTTAGTTCCAGAATATTTCGTCTTCATGCAAGATTTACAAGTAAAGTGATAACCTGGAGTATGTCGTGTGACGCTGTGTTGTGGCATACGAACAGAGGACCGATCTTCCATATATATTTTCCTGATTTCTTTCAAGAATCGCACAGTGATTTGCTGGAAGCTGAATGTATATGTGCATGAGATCATTCACTGACCATGTGGTGTATTTTTCTGGTTAGAAGAGTAAGAAATGGAGTTAGGTTTAGGCGTTTTGATGGATTGAAGTTCTGGCAGATCAGTGATTTTAGGTGGTTGCCATAATATGAATGTATCATGAAGACAATGAGATGAACAACTGTCGATATTCCTTCGCAGCTGAATTATTGTGTGTCAGTCTTCGAAATTCACCAAATTATTTATTATTATTCACTCGCATTCCGAGTGACGTGTAGAGGCTATGCAACACGTCACCATTTCACCAGATTATCTGAAGTCTTTCCAGCTGGTTGACTGGTTGTCCGTGAGCCTTCATCTTCACCTCACGCGACTTCCTCTATGTCACACTTCGACGTACGATTCATCCTTCACTTGCAAGTCAGCCTCTGTTTGACGAAGTTGCGCTCATAGATATCTCCAGTATACATCTAACCCAACTGCATTTCCTCCTGTATATATGTTCAGCCATACCCTTATCTACCAGACCTTGCATTTGTTTATCGTTTCCCACCAGTAATCTGATCTTCAGTATGGAGCCAGAGAAGTCAGTTGTGGATGAAATTGTTATTATAATTAGTAGTAGTAGCAGCCTGATCTAAATAATTTTGGTATTAGCGGCAAGTTAATTTGACCTAGTGTAGCATGTGAATTAATAACGTGTGTGTGTGTTTTCAATGAACAATTCTCCTTTCAGTGTCGACACCTTCAGAATCCTGTAAGAAAGATTTTATTCATTCACTGGTCACATTCATCACTTACTCGTTACTTTGTTAAAAATCTTTGTCGAATCTAGTTGAAATCTAGAACAACCCATAAACAGTTAATAGTAGTTTCATACAAGTAAACCGAAAAATATATAAAATACGTTTGATATGAAGGTCACTGTCTACGCCTTAAGCCAACTGGACGAAGATATAACACTCACCGAGTTCTCAGGTGCAGATGCATTTAGGCTAGGAGATTCCTGAATGAGTATCTCAGCTGGTGGATCACCTGAGTTCATAATCTGAATCCGGTAGTTCAAATCTCACCATAATCGACACTTTCACGAAATACTTAGTCATCATCCAAGGCATGAATTATAGTCAGACAACTCATGAATAGCACAGAGAGTGTCTAATGCACCCACAAAACTGCGGATCTAACTAGACAATTCTAACTATTACACAAAAAGCATACTGTTAACATTTACCAGGGCTTTCGCTTTCTTAATAATTAACTTTACACGGAATATAACAAACACACATACACAGAAAAGCGACGTGCTATTTGTATCCTTCACTCGTGTCACTCAGAGTTGAGTAATCTTCTCACCCTCTCACTGATTTCCCAAATCTTCTCCTTCATTTATCAGTGATCAAAAAGCCGATGTATTGTAAGTTGTCTAGTGTAAATTTGAATTTGTCGGTTGTGCTGATTTTTGAGGATTTTGAATTTAAATGCGTCTTTAGACAGTGAAGAGCATTATTTAACAATTTCATTTAACAGCATAGCGAATTCTAATTGAGGATTATTGATGTATTAGAGTAGTTTCAATAGAAGGTCTCGTTGTTGAGGCACAGTGTGCGTTTACTTTCAAGAGACAAACTAACAAATTGAAATCACTTCATGTTCACTACGAAATAGAATCAGGTAGGGAATTACTGCAAATAACGCAGCGCTATCTTATTTTCAACATCTACATTCCTGGATCAATTCACTCGTTATTAAGTACAGGAAACATTCCACGAAGAATTCATTGAAATATCGCTATGAATTCAGAAGTGATCCCTATGACAAATGAATACTCCTTACAAATATTAACTCTTATACCGTTTATTCCAATCTGTTCAGTGCTGTTTTGCTCTGAAGGAACTTGTGGAAAGTGTTAACTTTTCAAGTGGTTCTTTTGAATGAAAGCAAAGAGTGTTAAATGAAGCGTCAGACTTCACATTGAATTTTTATTTTGTTTAGGAAGGAACGCATCCGATCAGTGTGAGTTTCAGATATTCAGCAGTTTACAGCTTTGTATGAGAATACAAGGTCTGTCTTCTGGTGAATTATTATTGTACATTCTCAGCTATTTTGTAATATTTTAAACCGAAATTTAGTTTGATTCCTTCAAGTTCTCAGTGAAACATGGGGCTTCAAGATAGATGCTTGGAATTTCTGTAGCAGTGGTGTTTATTTTTACAGGATACGGTTCCTAGCCTCATACTCAATCTTCTCTCTTTACCAGACCTAATATTGGCTTACTGAGGCAAAGGAAAGCGTCTGTGGCCAGGGATGGAATCTCGAACCACATGAGGCATGGTGACGAGAATTCTGCTGCTGTGCCACCGATGCACTCAACTGAAATTACTGAATGGCCTTAAACATTTTCGGTGAACATTAAGCTAAATTGCGATGAAATCCATGCGACCTTCACATACATCGTAAGTCGAATCGAGCAACTGTAACACATACATTCTTTGATGATAAGTTTGATGCTTGAGTTACATGCGAGACTGCAGAGGTGTATGAGATTTTCATAATATCATTTCTGAGAGTTTTGTTGTATAAAGTAGATGAAATCTCCTCACCTTCCAAATCATATAACACTCATGATTATTACTCAGGTATTGTTGATGGTGGAGAATCGCAGAGCAACATTTGCGAAAGTGATTACAGCCTGTGATTTGTTTCAGTTCAATTCCACCTGAATCGAAGTTACTGGCCTAAATCATTCGTGCCTCAGTATGTGCACACCAATGCTTTAAATGATATTCGATACACCAGTTCAGAATTTTATAAAAGATCAGCAATTCGATCAACCATTCATTCGTCATTCTTTTGCGTGGCGACTGAAATGTGTGGCATTGAGCTTTTGGAATTTCAGTGGTAGCCATGGGTTTACCCTAAAGCGATAGTTTTCTCTGCTTACGCCTTGACTAGGTGATTAACTGGAAAGCATTCAATCATTGAACCTTTTATTCATCAGTGGAAAAATTATTTGTTTACAGTGAAACAAACAAAAGAACAAAATCATCTTGTACTTTCAATGGACGCACACTCACAGAAATACACCGGAAGAGAGAATACCACCGAATTTAATTATTGCTAATGTCGGTTATCCGTAGAACGTTCTGTCTCAGGAAAACGAATGAATACTTCGACTAATTTCAAGGTCATTTCATAACTCCTGATCTTTGTGTTTTCGCCTACAATTTCTCAATTTGTAGATATCAAATTGGAGAGGATGGGTATGTGATAAATGAATTGGTCTCTTCATGATTCTTGTAAACAACTCATCTTCATTAACATCTTCACTTTTCAGGGTATAGTCTGAATCCTTTTTCCATGTGTGTATAGACAGATGATTAACTGATTGTGCGAAAGTCACAATTCTTAGATCATTTCTGAAGATGGAATTTTAAAAATATTTCCCGAATCTAACGTAACTATTTGCATTATTTCTTTCATTATTCAAGCGACATTTCAAGGTAAGTGTTATGACATTCCAAATGTTTGTATTTGTCATTTATATTGAAGAATCTCGAGTGCGATAAGCGTCAACGACAAGTCAGGATAAGGCGATTGACTTGAAATGGAATTTTCACAGATATCTTGTGGACCAATTGGTTTTTCTGTCTGTGAAATACGTTACCTTCTCGCCGTTATATTGTCTCGTTTATTCTCTCTGTTTCTTTGACGTGATTACTTCCACTGAAGTATCTCCGTGCAAGAAGGATCCAGTCGTACAGTCGAAAGGCAAAGTTCAACCTCCATATCGTTGACTTGGAATGACTTACATCAAATTTGACTGAAACTCATGAAATATTGCACAAAAGGGTGATCCGTTTTCGGCGCACAGATTTCTCCACAAAACATTTATTGAGCACTGTGTTAACTGAGAAACGCTGGAGTGAAACCGCCACAGATCGAATTGGCGGTTTTCAAATTTACTGAGTCTCTTTTCATATCAGTTGATATAATCAGAAGGACAGTCGCAGCAACCCGAGTTGATCGGGCAAAGTAGGTGTATCGAAGATCACTTAGTTTTGTGAGCAGCATCCACTGAATGCATTCTCGCTGTTTGGCGACACCATGTTTGATGCCTCATTAAAACATGAATTCACACTTCCTCATTTATTCATTGTTATTATTTTAGATGCCAAGCGATCCCACAAATGTAAGTACCATGATTGCATTGTCTTTGTGTATATATTGCATCATTAAAATAGAGCCTAATAATTGTGGCACTTATTGAGCCCGTTAAACCACTACGTGCCTCAGTCAGCCATTGTGTGTTAGCAAGGAGATTCGTTAGAATAGATTCATACGCTCTGTTCCACATAAATTCATTGAATAAAGGTTACTCAATTACCATTTACACCTTCGGTTTATTTTTCTCTCAGGGCTACTATTCCGGATGAAGAAGTGTAAGTAGATTGTGTCCCATTTAGAAATTGTAATTATTTATATACAATAAATTCAACTTGTGAAAGCGATTTTTGTCATTTGGGAAAGTAAATGGAAGGTACACGGCTGTGAGTAGCCTCTTGGAGTTAAACTCCACAGTATTTAAATTCCAAGGGAAAATAAACAAACAAACTGAGGGAGTTGCCATGGGTTCACCAATATCTTCAGTGGTAGCAGATATATTCATGAATAAGTGGGAAAGCATAGCGATTGAAACGTTCACCCCCACCCCAAAAGTATGGTGGAGGTATGTAGATGACACATTCACTGTACTTAGAACACAAGATATAGATAGGTTTTTCGAACACATCAACTCGAAGGTAGAGCCAATTCAATTCACTTATGAATCGGAAAGGCAGGAAAGGGAGCTTTCGATGTTAGATTGCAACGTAAAAAGGAAAGAAGATGGGAAGTTAAACAGTAGTGTTTACAGGAAACCCACATATTTAAACAGGTATTTGGACTTCCTATCATCCCATCCTATGTCAGTAAAAATAGGATTGATGAAATGTTTAAATGACAGAGCACAAAAACTAAGTAGTACCAAGGAAATTCTAAAACAGGAACTGATACACATAAAAGAAGCCTTGGAACTTCATAATTACCCGGATAAACTAGTCAGGAAATATGTAAGGAAATGTAAGAATAAAAATAAATAATGATAGAAGCGATAGTGATAATAATAATGATAATAATAATGGTGATAATAATAATAATATTAATGACGATACCAACATTATGGAATCTAAATCATCAGTAGTAATTCCATACATGGACGGAACCTCGGAAGTCTTACGCAGAATTCTTAACAAGGCAGGCAGGAATAAAAGTGGCTGACATTCAAACCCACAAACTCAATTAGAAACAAGCTTTGTCGGTTAAAGTGTCAATCCTGTGGAGCTTTGAAAACAAAACAATTTAGTTTATCTAATACCCTGCAATGATTGTCAGATCAAATACATAGGTCAAACTAGGCGAACAGGAGCAGTCAAACTAGCTGAACATAAAAACCTAGAAGCGATGTCTAGATTGGTTGATCCAAATAAGATAAGAAATCTAGAGAATAGTTCAGCTATAGCACTACATGCAGTTACACAAAACCATACAATAGGATGGGATAGGATGACAGTTTTAAAATCTAATGTAGCAGCAGGGTATAGGGAGAGATTGGTAACGGAAGCTTTGTTTATCGAATCAACTGCAAACACGTGTAATAAGAATGATTCATCACCTGTCCCAGATATCTGAAAAATTGTACTACCCTAACGACATGTAGGAGAAAACAAAGAAAACTATAAAACTCAAGTTTCAAAGTCGTGTGATTACAATTGATATGATTATGAACAATAATTTTTGTTCGAAACTGTGTCATCCAGTAAATAATACTCTTTCACTGTGTGACATATCTAATAACTAAACTAATATGGAATCACTTACTACCACAGTGCTCAAGTTTTACACATATATTTAGACTAATATACGCTACATATGCTACCTCTATTTATTCATCGGCCATTGAATCCCAGACAGTGTGACTGAATGTTCTAAGAGATTGGTCACACAACCTGAACGTCTTGGGTATTCTCCCCTGTTTTCACGAAGAATCAGCAACCAGAGATTTCCGTCGATGAATAAAGTTGCACAGTTGATGTTGTTTTCCCATTTTTTCAAGAATAGTGATTAATATTTTCATTTGAAATTCATCTAACTAATTATAGGTATGAAGGCATGAGTGAAAAGTGAGTCGAACATTCATTTCTGTCAATGATTGGATCTCGTCTGAAACGATGTTAATTGATTTCATAATATTACCTCTTTCTACCATTTTGTTTCATTAGTATTACACACGGTAGTCAGCTAAGCAGTGGAAACTACTCGTTACCTCCTGCGAAATCAGAATGACGATTTCTTTGAAAGTGGATATTTCTCTTCTCCACTATGTCGTCAACTGGATTGTATGTGTGAAGTTGCATTAATCCTCAGACAGTCGATAGATCTGAATTTGGTAACTTCTTTCCCTGTGATACTAAATATAAACGACTCGTTCCACCAATACTGACTTGTAGAAATTGAAGAAATTATTCCTAATGCACAAAGTTATATATCATTTATACAAGAGTGATCTTTAGTACTCAAGGAACTTATTATTCATTCTCATTGTTCTACCCATCCCCATGATATTCTTTTCTTACTGAGGTGATTATAATTTGACAGAATGGCTTGATCACTACTGAAATATCGACTTTCAGGTTGAACGCTGAGAAGTCCCTTGAGATTCCCTGTGCGATCGTGATAGTGATGACAGTTGGTGACATGTGAAGCGATGGATTCTGATCTACAGTTGCATGTGCAAGCCTTTTATCAATCCGTGGATGCAACTGGCTGACATGCACAAGACGGATGAAACACACTTCCTCTATTCTACTGCTAGTCACAATCAGCCCAGGCATATCACATATCATGTTGTAATCTAGTTTAGTCATATCCTGTGAAGAGTAATAATAGTACACTTAGAAAATTATGAGTAACATTTTGGTCTTTACTACAAATCTTTGTTTTTATTTATTTTCTATTGCCTTCAGTAACAATGATGTGGACAGATTGTAAGTTCATGTTATCTTTACTAGGCATTGATTACATCTAGTACCATTATATGTAACATTTGTATGTCAAGCGTCGAGTTTAGAATATATATGACATTCACATTTCAGCGCCCATATGAGTCTTACTTCTAAGCTGGATTTCAGTTTTCACATTCCGAATGATCTATGGAGATCCTCCAGTATTTAGAATAGGTGGATAGATAGAAAAGTGACATTCATCAGCTAAGATGTTCATTCTTCCAAAGTACTTGAAATATCCGAGGAAATTTAAACTATTCCAGGTCATTATGGATATGAACACATCTCATCACTCATAGATTTATTCAGTCTTTTGTAAGGGTATCTTTGGATGCATTATTCTATATACTGTTGAGAATCGATTAATGAGTGTGGAACTCAGATTCCTACTAGACATTTTGACGCCCTCTGATTGATCATTTCGATGGCAAATTCTCGATGAATGTCTAGTTAGCTAATTTGATTAATAATTCATTCCATCTGAGTTGAATAAATTAAGATGGAGTGATTCAGGATCACAGTTCATCTATGACTGATGTTCTCCTCTTCGCCTTTTCATATTTCAGAGATGAACAACTTCAAGGAATGTAAGTTTGTTTATTGATTGTTCATAGGGATTTGAATTTGAGTAACTCACAACTGAATCTAATGAATGAGAAATGAGGTTTTTCTCGAAATTAGAAGAGCAAAGATGGCGGCATAAATTGTGAGCATTTGATTTGCCTGAAGGCTTCTTTACAGTGAGTGATGTAATAGGATGTTACACGAGATTAATGAGGTATGAAGTGATACAGTTTGCACCTACATTGAATAACACCCCTACTCAATTGGATTTTGGTCAATTTATGATTTACTTAATGTGGATATATTAGCCTACCTGGAACTCAAAGATGGAATGGTTTGCAAAATCTGCTGTTTCTTTTATCCTTCACGTTCCCCAGTGGAACATTGGGCTTCAAGCTAGTGGCTCGAAGTTTCTGTATCAGTGTTTATTTTACAGGATGGGGTTGCTAGCCTCATTCCCAACCTTTCCTCTTCGCCAGCATTATTTCTGGCTTAGCGAGGTAAAGGAGTGCGTCGGCCAGGGATCGAACCCCGGACCATGAGCGTCCTAACCGTTATGCCACCAACGCACCAAAATATGCTGTGATTTATGAATATTTTTCTAGCATTTCCCAATATAAACTACACAAATTTGTAAGGTTGATTTTAGTCAGCAGTTTTTCCGTCGAAGTGAATCCTTCTTTCCTACCAACAAAACATAACTCACGGTTATTTACTGGTTACTGAACGAAAAATGTCGTGGACTATATTCCGGGTGTCAGTGCAGCTGAATGAAGAATTCGAAATTTCGGTGCAACAGTCACCCAGTATAACGTCATTGTATAGATGATGATGATTCTTGAGGAAATCCACACTAAACTCAGTCAAATATCCACAGTTATGAGACTCACGTTAATTAGAGTCCCAAGGGGTATTCATTTCTTCAGTATTAGTTACTTGAATGTCAATGCTGCATCACTTTGTGGTGTTACTTGGCGAGAGAGATTTATTCGAAGTTATGAATTTTATTTATACATTTTCGAAGGTGACAAGATGAAACATGCGGTTTTTACGACACTGCCGTTTTTATTTAGCTACATCAATGCTGATGCACCGTGAGTTCCTATTTATTAATTCGACATATTTTTTACTCTTATATTTGTCAGAATTTGTCTAGTAATACAGTGACAACTATTCACCTTTCAATACCAGCGACTGATTATGAGTCCAACTCGATACTAATCCCTTCAGAAAACACATAGTCTCAAGTGACTTCATGAAAATTATATCAGAATATAGACCAATTATTCATCAGGGTTTGCATACCGCTTGCCCCCTGCATTCTTAGTTCCAGATAAGGCCTCACTTTTGAGTTTTGAGGTTGCGTATGTGGTGGTTAAGCCTTTTAATGGGATCGGGACTAGTCGCAGGCACAAATGCCTCTACCGGCGAGCCGAAATTTAGCAGTTCGTTAGCTGTGAGTTGAACTATGAAGCATGAATAGCCAATCAATTTTTGAAAACAGTGTTCTCCAAAACACTGAATACTAAGAGAAGTACGCTACAGGTTATAATTTCAGTGTGAAATCAAATAAGTTTCGCGGGAAATTCTGAACTACAACATAACCGAGTATTCAATCACTTACAAAAGAGAATTCCTGACAACTCTATTGATGTCTGTAGATTCTTTCACTATTGACAATGGAAATTCGAGCAGTGAAATAGGTTCCCATCGTAGTGTTCGTCATCTAATATTTTCTAATTCTAATTCTGAGCAAAATTTCTGTTATTGATATCACTGCTTGTTTTCATTTCCTTCAGATCCAATTTGAGAAGAGTATACGAATTCATGTAAGCTTATGTCTGCTAAGTGCAATGCTGATAGGATTTGTATTTGATAAATAGTAGTAGACTTCAGTGTATTTCACTGGAGATACCAGATAAAAGTATGTTGGAGGAGATCGCAGTCTATCCCGTATATATAATGGGGGTATGATTAGCTGGTTGGGATGGTGCTGTGATTGGGATTTTCGTTTCAAATCCTATCATCACTCGCCATATAAACGGTTGTTATAGCTATCTTAAGTAGGATTTCATGTAATGTCATTGTTTACACATTAATTAAGAGGTGATGTTTGCAGGTTTTATGCTTCCCTTGTGAGATTACATAATTTCTTTTATACTTTTGTTTATAGGATCAATTATCCACACAATGCGTAAGCGATCATCATCATTAACGAGAATCATTCAAACTGTTACACGATTCACACACACACACGATTTAAGAGTGGTATATTGTTGTGCTTCTTGTAGAAGAGCACAATTCTCAAACATGACAGAGAGACATTCATCAACACACAGTGAAGAAGATATTTCATGTAGATTTGGATTTCTACACTGATCAAGTTCATGACATCTCCAAGAGAATGCAATCAGTCTCTCTTAGACGAACTTTTTTCTCGTCAACTCTGAGGTTAACATTTCCCTGTCTATCAATGTTTCCCAGTCTACGTCGGATGGTGAAATCTCACATATGACCGATTACTTGTATATCTGTCCAGTGATCTCCACCCATAGAACACGGTGTGTCCGAATTTCGATGCGAGTTGCATCAGAAAGAGAACACTATCTGCTGTGATCGCAAAGCGGAGACAGTAAGTAGGTTGATTAGATGTGTGAATACTGAGAATATTAGGAATACTGGCCATTCACCACTGTCAAGTGAAATTGCATACAAAGTATCTGATAAATGTGAAGAGAACACTCTCAAATATGGCAGACATCCGTGTTCTTACGTGTATTAATTACTCCGTCACGAGTCATCTATATGCAGAAACTGAGTTCTTGAATGCAACGAAATCCAATGCAAGCACTTCTTCCATCTGAAGCTTACTTGTCACCCCATTGGACAAGCTGAAATTTCATTTATTAGACTTGTTTAACAATAAGGATATTTACGTTATCTATGGAAAAACGTCCTCTCCACTACTAAGAGGACAGTTATCGGTCTGAACGAATTTCGAAGGAGTCTTTCTCCACAGATCCCTTGCACACTCAAAAATGAGGCAAAGTTGACGTCTATTAACTTCAAGTGATAGTGTGTGTGTGTTGCACGACGTTTATTGCCAGAGTAATTTGAAGATATTTCGAACTTTTGATTTTGACCGTTTTGTTTTGTTTTTCATCATTAACACAGCAAAATCCCATCAGAGGACTACACGTGAGTATTCCTTTTTTTCTGGATGCCAAAAATAATTTTAGAAGACCAAGCTTTTTGTATAATACACTTTGTAGTAACGAATATGGTCAATTTCCAACGTTTGCACATAACTCAGTACACTTGTTTGTCAACGATATCCTAATCAGTTCCATGTTTCAGGACATGCAAGTGATTACTACTGGCGTATGGTAAAATGAATGGATAATTTTATCACGTGTTGAAGGATAACTTTATGAAATCGAGGTGGTCGTGTTTCGTTGAAAGGAGGGTTTCTGGATACTGCTGAGAATGACTGATGAAAGAAGTCAGTCAGAAACAGTTAACTCATTCATTCGTTGTGTAGAGTTTCACCTGAACTCAATTTATCGAAACATAAGTGCATGATATATTCAACATTCATTTGTTAGACATTCGTGAATTAGATAACAAACAAGTTTCTTGAATTAAACAATCCTTGGTCTATACAGCCTCGAAATAAACACCATAACACTTTATATACAGAATAATAACCTCCGAGAACATCACTGTTTATAAGAACTCTACAGTGTCTTCCCAATCGATATAACTGAAAGAGTGAAATTTAAACATGACGTATTTCCTTTCCGTCAAATCTCGTGACACTACTCGAAGATTCTGTGCACACCTGAGACCATAATGATGAACTCAAAATATTTTCTATTCCATGTTCTTTCTAGTACCGGATGTCTTTTGGGAGGGTAAGCAAAACGTGTATTCGTCAATGCAGTATTCAACCTTCATTCTTCATTTTGCATCGCATCAATAATACTAATAATTGTAATACTAATGACAACTGCAACTCACAAGTACATCTTTCTAATTTTCTGCTACATTTCTTTGTCATCTTTTAGCTTACCAAGACCTCAAAAATTGAAGTATGTTGGCACTTTTCGTGTTTGTCTTGTCAGTGATAGGTTTTTGCTTGGTTCATTGACAGAGTTCCGTGTTTTCATTCCTTTCTCGCCACCTGATTATCAATACTGAGCCCATGAAGGCAGATGTTGATTGACATCTGCCGTTACCTGGTGGAAATGCTTTAATACATAAGATCAACCTGGAGTGACATCGATCTACGTATGGATCTCAGTACTTGATATTATATTTTGAAGAGATCGCTCTTCAGCGAATTCTTTATTACTTTCAATGAAGGAATACCGCGTTACACGACAATTAATCGTGATTAATGATTCCACGTTGAGAATCCATAAATTGTCAGTTTTAATCTAGAGTAGATTGAACAGACAACAAATCGTCAGAAAAGGGTAATTCAGACAAGTTTGTTAGACAACTGGTGAATTCATTCTTCCATTCATTGCTGTTCTATATGAAAATATTTTTTCTATTTGTCCTTTTAACCAGCTCTGACACGTAAGTAATTCAGTAGTATAATACCACGTTGGACATTTTTCATTGTTATTTCAAAATGTTGTCACTTGCTTTTACATGGCGAATAAAAGATGGTTTCAACAGTGAAGAGAATAATTTCCAATGGTGTTCAATCTCACTTTGTTTGTTTGTATCTGTAGATGTCAATGCTTTGCTGCCGCGTAAGTGACATGCATCAACTGCAATAATTTGAAATTTCACTAAGGCATGTTTCATAACGAGTGGTATATCTTTAAAAGTTGTTGAAGCCTGCATAGAGCATCGAAACATGTGGCGGAGAACGTTTGTGTGATGCAGTCTGGAGGGTCTTTATTCATTGTAAATCTGTTTTCCAATTCCTCGCGTTCTGAGGGGAACATAGGGATTAAATCTTTTGAAGAGTGAGTAACAGTGGCGTTGTTTGCACGTGGTGGAGTTACTAGCTTTACAACGAACTTTCCCTGTTTTCTAGGATCAATACCACTTAGTAAGCTAGGAGCAGTATAGGAGTGGGCATCAGAAGGGAATCGAACCTAGACTACTTGCGAGGTTCATGCGAGAATTCAGCCACTGTATCATTATAGCATTAGATGGGGAATGATATTCACACACATTTCGTCTATACTAGATCCAAAATAAAAGCACTAATGAGAGTAGATGTAAACAACCGAGATAATTATGAATTTGTACACTGCCACTTCAGTTGAATGAAGTACATTCATTATTTGAGAGACGGAAATGGAGTTAATTCCATGAGTAGAGTTAGTCAATTCTTCATTTGTGAATTCATTTGAATTCTGACTAATAACTTGCTGTCTTCTATAAAATGCCTCCATATTTCATATGGATTTTTGAACACAACTCATTTGAGATGTGATTAATTATCCCGAAATCATATTATCGACATTTCTTCTTCAGTCGTAAATCAATTGACAAAGTGTAAGTTTTCATTTTGTATTGTCAAATTATGTGGGGATACGAGTCAGCTTGTAGTAAAATCATGAACACAGTGCAACGCCATGCGAGTTAGTGCTCCATGATAGTCAGTCAACTGAATGATGTTAGGATCGATGATATTGTAGGAGAAGCCGTTTTCGAAATCCAGTGATTGATTTATGCCTACGTTCACAAGGATCTTCAGTGTCACTGAATCACCCCAGCATGACAATGTATAATCACTCCATTCCTTTAATATAACTGACACTTACAGGTATCAGCACATAGCTGAACTTTGCTAATTTTGATTCTCATTGGCTTCAGGGGATAAATTACTACACTTGCTTAAACTCCACTATATTTATGTTTCTATGTTTACAGTCAAGGATTTCACAAGCAATAGTAAGTTTCAGATGACTTGCACACCTTACAGGTATCACAGTTTTCATCAAGTCCTTACCTTGTCGTAATCTCCTCCAGTCTTAGTACTGAAAAAGTAAAGTACTGAAAAATAGGGTTTCCTCTCAGTGAAGTTGACACCTAGCGAGTTTCAGAAGTTATAAGCGGAAACTTAAGATAACAGAGCGCTAATTTAAAATTCAGGTTTCCAAATATTAAGATATGAAAAGCATGAATGAATTTTCTCAATTTATTCAGAGATAGGACTGTGGAGGATATGTTTAACTTGAGTGCTAAAGCATATTCAGTCGATAAATGTCGTCAGCTCTCGTATAAATGCTACCTGGATGATCCTTCGAAGTTGAATCAGATGATGCTTGTTGGCTTACGCACTCGACATGCATGCAGTGGATAACTGGACTAAGCAACGTGAAAGTCTTTAGTCACGATACTTGAAAATTCCTTTCTGAGTAACTGAATGTTGATTGAATAATCTTAGAAATTTTCACTGGAAATTCTGTGTATATCATATTCTGTAGACGACAGAACTGTGGTTGAGTGAAACGCGGTAAAGCAATGCAATCGGATGTTTCGACTAGAATCATTCTGAGATTTTCAACTGCCGTCTTTTGAAATATCAGCTTTCCCATCTGGTAGTATAGGATATGTTGCATATGTTGCAGTGTCATTGAAAACTGAAAGGTATCTGAGTGAAGTGTAAATCGGGTTTAGTGGTTTGAATGCATCAAAATGATAAATTTAAAATGTGCGAATAAGGCGTTAGTTATCATAAAAATATTACAGGAATTGTAAACATATACAAAAAATGTTTACTGCAGGAATTATACTTTCAAAGACGGGAAGAATTTATCCGTGTGAATACATAATTCAGCTTCACTTGACCGAAGTATAAAATATCCTTTCATCATTATTATTCTAATTTATCACAGCCTTAAAACGATATCAGCATAGTAAGTTATTCATTCTAACAAGTTATTCAATCAAACTGTTGACAATTCACGAGTGTGTTGGTTATTTCTTCTTCAAGAAACCTTCCAGTTAATCAGAAAATGTGTCAAGTAGTGAGAACATCAACTCTACAAGAAATGTGTCCACTGCTTATCATTGCCTGTGGACGCGGTGATATTGCTTCATTTCAGTGACATCAGATGGATTTGCAGAAGTGGGATTCGAGGATAGATATCCATCCACTGAAGTCAGTTGATGGTGGTGTCAGTACATTGGAGAATCACCGTAGTTGGAATATACAATTCCTCGAATGTCGACTTAGTGGATGAATGATCACGTGACGACTGTTTTGAACTGAAGGACTTGAACTAGACAAACGTGGTCTCATTCGTGCATACTGCTTGGGGGCATGCATATATTGGAACTGACATATTTCATGAAAGCGTGAAACTTGAGCTGATAACAAGCTGATGAACGGTGGTACACTCGATTAACAAAACACAAAACGAGTAAAGAAATCAGTATGTTCACATCGATGTGGTCCAACGCATCAGCCTCTGTTTTTAATCTTAGAACTGTTAGTCTTCCACAAACACACCATACTGACTTCATGAAGCATAGACATATACAGTAATTTCGAGTCATCCACGCATAATTATTTTGTATCGTCAGACAGAGACATTGAAATGAACGTTTCTGACTGCTTAAAAATCATGATATAATGACGAATTGAATTATCTTCTTTAGTCTACCACACCGTAAGTTATCCATTGGACGATAGATAAATTTACACAAAGATCTGCTTCAAAGTATTTCCGAATTCGTAATGAACATTCTGAATCATGATCCCATCAGAATGTGTATGAATGACGGGTAGATTTAGTGAATTTTATTTCTGTGAGTAAATGTGGAGCCGGAGGAATACAGCTTACCTGAAGTTGTCGATGAAACAATAAGCTTGACTGGAAAAATCCGAACGACGCATCCTGTGCCTGCAAGACAAATTCTTCAGTATCAGGTAGATGTATACAGAGGCTTCCAGGAGATACTGAAAGTATTTGAACTACAGTGAACTGGTAAGAATTATTGACTACGATTAGAATTTAGCCTACCTACAACATACAACACCGCAATGAACCATCAGTTCATATGTGCATTTCACCAAGTTCCAGGGTGTTTGGTCTTTCTAAGATGTGAAATATGGAACGAGAGAACGTTTGCGAATGTAGCCACCACAGTGAACCCCATAAAGAAGTTGAACATTAAATCATGGTTTATTATTCAGTATTAATCACAGCAGTTCAATATCCCACCCACAAACTGATTGAAATTAGTTGAATATATGGACAACCTTTCGAACAGCCACATATGCATTAGTGGTAGTATGTTTAACAAACTGTAAATTTCATTCGTCTGATGCCTTATTCAAACAAAATTCAACTGTTCAATGTTTCAATGACTAACATTCCCTTTATTTATCCATTTGTTTTTGTACAATATAGTGTAAACGGATTTCCACTGAATATTTGTAATATTGAATGTAAAGTAAACTTTTGTAAAATTGAAAATAAATAAAACTGTGAAATGAAATGCTTGTGGTTTTGTTTATATTATCCTGCGTTGCTATGGTTAAGGTTGTTGACAGTATCAGGATGCTGTGAAACAGAGCGATACAGTGATAGATATAGAAATTGATAAGAGACGCTGTGTTTATCGAATGAGTTCGGAGTAGATGCCATAGGACATCTGGGAATCCAAGTTGCAAATGAAGATTAGTTAGGGTTCGATACGTCATCCAGTGAATAGCACTTTCTAAATAACAGACAAACTAATGCGGTAATATCGTAGACATATTGGATTGGATTGTTTTGTATTAGTACTGATTGACGCTGTTTTCTACCCTTAGGCAAAGAAGAATTCGTGCGAGATGCAGTCACTTATTCATTTACTGAGGATCACTGATCTAATTGGAATTTCTATCTTATGTGACAAAGCTGAGGTTGTGTAACAGAATCAAAGATTGTTTTACTCTTCTTTCTTACAATAATAATCATTTGATATGAATATTGTTTACTGCATTTGCTTTAGAAACGAATGCATAACCTGTATCGTTTCAGCAACGGGACATAATCTCAATACTCGTCACACAGCTGTGAATCATAGTCACATTCAGATTCACTTATAAAGTACAAACAAATCTCCTTAAGATACACTACTAAAGCACTAGCCATTCACACGGTGAAACACATTCTGTTTGTCGGCATTTGTAAAATGTCCAGATCGCTAAAGATCCTGAACGTATTACTGATTTCAGAAGATTGCGCTTAACACGCTTAATACGATACACGGTAAGCAACGCGAAATATCGGTAAGAGAGTAAGGACAATAAGATTTCTGTTATTATCATTTTTTATCCTGGAGAGAATCAAACATGCCCTGGATGAAAAACTTCGACCGGAACAGGCTGGATTCAGCACAAACAAGTCATGCATTGATCAGATCGCCACATTGCGGATCATCATTGAACAAAGCTTGGAATGGCAGTCACCTCTCTATCTCAACTTCATCGACTTTGAAAAGGCCTTTGACAGCGTCGATCGAGAGGTGATTTGGAAACTACTTCGCTCTTCTACGGGGTGCCACCGACAATTATACATCTCATTCAGCGGCTAGCTGTACGACAATGCTGCATGCCAAGTAATC